CTCTCTCTGTAGATATATAGATAGATATAGATATAGATCCTATATATTTATATGTAGAGATTAATTGATTCTCTGGAGAACCCTGTCTAATACAGCTTCCTTCCCATGATCTTTGCAGATGTCTCCTGAGGCCCACATATGAGCTATAAGAATATCCCTGCAAAAAAAGAAGTTTGGGTATCAGATATTCTGATTATATTCTGATTGCAGGCTTTCTCTCAGTATTTGGCCTGGCAGATCCCTGCTCTCTTCCTACTCTTCAAGGCCTTTATGAAGATTTTTTAAAAATATTTTATTTTATTCATTATAATTTTTATTCATTTAACTTACGATTCAAATAACTTATTTGAATTATTCAAGTTAGAGCCCAGCTCTGCTCTCCAAAGTCAAGCACTCATTTGTAACTTCCTGATCAAGTTCACGCATGAAAAAGAAAATGACTTTAGTTTATAGTCTCACTAAGCTCTATGCTGCCAACCCTATGCTGCCAGCTTTTCTAGGACCTTCTTATTGGTGGAGAATTTTAAACTTTAGGCATTTTTATTCTTTTTAAAACACATTTTCTGTGTCTCCTTTTCTTTATTTTCCTCTCTCTCTTTCTCTCTGGATTAAGCCTTATCGTTTCTTTGATTCTCTGCCGGGTCTTTTCTTTCTGCCCCTGTCATTTTCTCTTTGTATGGGATGAGGCTTCTACCACTCTGCCCTTTTTCATTATTTCCAAGGTCACTTCAATGAATAATCAAAGCATACCTGGTGAATTATTCAAATTTCAAATTATTCAATTTTCAAATGTCAAATTATTCAAATAATTTATTCATTATTTTATTATTATTTTTCTTTTTTGTGTGTGTTTTGTTGATATTCTAGTTAGTTAACCTACAGTATAATATTAGTTTCAAGTGTACAATACAGTGATTCAACACTTCAAAACAACTTGTGCTCATCACAAGTGCCCTCTTTAATCCTCATCACCTATTTAACCCATGACCCCACCCAGATCTCTTTTGGTAACCATCAGTTTCTTCTCCACAGGTGAGAGTCAGCTTCTAGGTTAGCCTCTCTACATAAGATTTTATTTTTTTTAATGTTTTTATTTATTTTTGAGAGAGAGAGAGAGAAAGCGCGCAAGCAGGGGAGAGGCAGAGAGAGAGACACACAGCATCCAAAGAAAGCTCCAGGCTCTGAGCTGTCAGCCCCTGCCTGACGTGGGGCTCAAACCCACAAACCGTGAAATCATGACCTGAGCCAAAGTCGGACACTTAACCTACTGAGCCACTCAGGCGCCCCTAAGATTTTATTTTTTAAAGTGATCTCTACACCCAACATGGGTCTCAGACTCACCATCACTAGATCAAGAGCTGCATGGTCCATCAACTGAGCCAGCCATGTACCTCATGAAGTTTCTTTAGTGAATTAATGAAGACTTTTAATTTCTTTCTTTCTTTCTTTTTTTAGCAGGAAAGTGAACCCCAGTAATCTAAACCCCCTGTAGCAGTAATCTCCTGTCTGTCCTCCAGGCATACTCTCCACCCCATCCCACCCCTTCTGTGGGGAAGTAGAAGCTGGAAGGCCTGACAAGCTCCTATTCTCTCTGGCCACAGTGGGTTCAGCCAGAGGGAGACTCAACTGAAGATCTGAGGAAGGGACAGAAGTGGTCACAGTGTTTATTTCCACAAAAACCCTGCTTATGAGGCTTCTTCATCAGCCAAATACTGAGAGAAAGCCTGCAATCAGAATATAATCAGAATATCTGATACCCAAACTCAGCTGTGGGTCCTGGCTCCTCTTCTCCTTCCCCTGTTCCCTAGGGCCCAGGGTGGGGGAGAGGAGTGGCAGAAGCTTATGCCTGTCTCCTGCACTGGCCTCCTCTTCTCCTTATCCCCAACCATACCTTGGTAATTAGTTCTTTTGTAAAGAAACTCCACAAATTATCCTACCATAAGTGTGCCAGCTCCAAAGTCCATACTTTGTAATGTCTACACAAAGTAGACAAAGTAGACAAAATGCAATCTACACAGGATTGCATGCCTCTTTCATCTGTGTTTACCCTGTTATTCATCCAATCTGTTGTGCCTTCTAATTCAACCACTGTATTTGTCAAATGCAATATTTTGTCTTGGTTCTTTCCTGTGGTTTCTTTGTCTTGGGTCTTATTGCTAATCATATTTTCCTATATCCATAATGATATTTATTGTGTTTATTAATTTTTTGGGTCTGTCTCTTCTAATAATTTATTTCAAATAATATATAATGTCTAACATTCTGTATTTCTTTTTTTTCTTCTTTTTTTTTCAATGTTTATTTATTTCTAGGAGACAGAGAGAGAGACAGTGTGAGCAGGGGAGGGTCAGAGAGAGAGGGAGTCACAGACTGAAACAGGCTCCAGGCTCTGAACTGGCAGTCAGCACAGAGCCCGACGCGGGGCTCGAACCCACGAACCGTGAGATCATGACCTAAGCGAAAGTCGGACGCTTAACCAACTAAGCCACACAGGCACCCCACATTCTGTATTTCTTTTTTTTCTTCTTTTTTTTTCAATGTTTATTTATTTCTAGGAGACAGAGAGAGAGACAGTGTGAGCAGGGGAGGGTCAGAGAGAGAGGGAGTCACAGACTGAAACAGGCTCTAGGCTCCGAGCTGGCAGTCAGCACAGAGCCCGACGCGGGGCTCGAACCCACGAACCGCGAGATCATGACCTAAGCGAAAGTCGGACGCTTAACCGCTAAGCCACCCAGGCTCCCCAGGTGTGTAGTTATTTTGACACCAGAGAAGGACAGAAGTCCTGATGAGTTCAAGGAGAAGGGACGGTGACCCCAGAGCAGAGGGACCAGGTACCAAAAAGCCACTCTTAACCTCTCCTCCATACAGCCATCTACCAGGCATTTCCCACAGCCAAGGCTTCAATGTTAAAGCCCTTAGAAGAAATCAGAGTGAAAGGACCAAGTCTCCCCAGGTAGTACTCCCCCTGCCATCAGGGGTAGAAGTGACAGCATGGAGGGCATGTACTCAAGGTGGCTGTTAGGAGCTACACACTAGTTGACATGGCCACCCTGAGATATACTGGCATATGAGATGGGATGGGGAAAGAGCGGGACATGTAAGCAGCCTTCTTCTTCAAGCCCGTCTTCTCGTTTCCCTACCCTCTTCACCCAGCTACAGGCCACTTCAGGAAAACTTTAGTTTCTCCAGGATTTCTCATTGATTCTGCATTTCCTTCTCATCTGCCCTGCATTCCAGGCTTGATGTTAGGTGCGAGCCAGCAGCCCACTGGGAGCTTCTGATGGCAGGTCTGGTGGAATCTACCTCAGCAGCACTTCCAGGCTGTCCCCCAGCCATAGGCCTACTGCCTTCCAGATCTGCTCTGCACCCTGACATCAGTCTTGTTATTTGGGATCTTTCCTTGTCACTGACCAGGGCCACACTTGGGACAGTTAACCCAAGCTACTCAAGGTACCTCTCAAAGTTAACCTGAGAGACGAAGTCACACAGGGCGTGAGGTGCCTGAGAATGGCCTACATTAGAGGGAAGACCTCTGAGCTTCTTAAGAGATCTGGGTTTGAATTTCTGCTCTATTTACTACCCACATGACCACAGACAAGTTACTTAACCATGCTAGATCTTGGATTCAGATCTGTAAAAAGAGATCAAACATGAATAGTAATACTAAACACTGAGGCTGGCTGTGGGTAACAGGGAAGTAGGCTGTGGTGAAGCTGTGATTTGGCAGATCTTCAGAGTGGACTGGAGATATATTTGCATCTACTGAGTTAAGGGGGCCCAAGAAACATTATGCAGGACCAAACAGTCACACCACTCCATGCTTCACATAGAAACATGGCTACTGATGGACAAAGCAGAAGTCACTGTGTGAGAGAAATCCAGCACAGTCAGCACAAGGCCGCCATGGGTTGAAGGTAAGTGGAAGTTCTAGGGGTAGTGGGTAGATAATGCTCCAAATCTGAACTATGTACTGACTCCCACCTCCTGGCCCAGCAATTCAGCCATGAAGCCCCATAACTGAGTCTACTAATGGGGAGTGAATACTTTTTTTCTCCCTTCTAGACACTGCTAAGCTGGAAAGGAAACCTCTGCATGAGTAGCAGAGAGCTAAAGCCAGCAAGATTCTGGTGACCATGTGCATGTGACTTTATCTGTTCTCACCTGCTGGTGAAGAGTGTAGGTTGTTTGGGACACAATATTGGAAAGAATTTGCACAGAACACCTGATGGCATTTTTGGATACAGTGGATCTGCAGTGTTTGAGGGCTGCTCCCTGATCACCAAGGGTTCAGGGTGGGGGCCTGTGGTTGTGAGACTCTTCTGAGTATTCTGCTAACTAGTTAAGATTCTGTCACCCAGACATTTGTAGGGCACAACTCAGGACATGGCTTAGGGCTCAGTGCTGAGCCAGCAAATCATGGGTCAGCCAAACCACAAGCTAAGACAGGTTCCCAAGGGATGGCAGTCTGAGCCCCTAGAGATTGGGGGAGGACAGACACTGTGGGTACAAGGGGAATATCCTAATAGCAGAGCTCTGAGGGCAGCTGACCTGTGACTTTGGACCTTAGCCTGGTAACCAGAGCCCTTCACAGTCTTCTTCAAATAGAGCCTTTCAAACAACCTCTGTGACCTGTGGGCCTGGAATATCCTTCTTCATCTCCAGCTCAGGGCGAATCATCCACACCTAGGAGGACCTGTCCCTGTTGCACTGGCCATTAGTGCTCTGTGAGACCTAGGGCATGCCACTTCCTTCATGGGGTGAGGCCCTGGCCCCTAAGCCACGACACCTCTTTGGAAGACTCCTCAAGGCTAGTGATTCAGTTCCAGTTCTCACCAGGCCCTCAATGTCCTTGCCCTTCCCTACTTCCAGCTCAAGGAGGAGGGAGACCTTCATGTGCTGAGGAACTTGAAGGACAGTAGGGTGGAGGTGGAAGATAGCTCTGATAGGTCAGAAATAGGAGCAGGAAGCTTCTTTAATAAGCTCTTTTAAATTTTGTCAGGCCTGGAGCAAGCCTCAGATAGACAGAATTGCTCAGAGATGGACACATTTAAGAAGAATGTAGAGTCTGTTGATACTAATGCAGACAAGCTTGTTGGGGAGGGACAGGAGGGGCATCATGGGGTCTGTCACAGAGTCCTTAGGGAAATCAGCAGTAGGAGGAGGGTCTGTGAAGACACAAGGGTTATGCAGGTGCTGGGCTTGTGGACAGTCCCCAGAGAAGAAAAGTCACTTAAAATAGGAGGATTGTCCTGCGGAGGAGCAAAAGAAGGATCAGGATTGGGCGAGGTGCTCCTCTTCTCATTGATCCAGCTGGAGAAGTAGGTGAGCCTGGTGAAGACACTGGGGCCTACGGGATAGCGGCAGGCCTGGCTCCAGCTAGACAGCCCCATCAGAAACCAAGTACCACCGTTCAGCTTGCAGACCAGGGGGCCCCCAGAATCTCCCTGAGGAAAGAGACAGCATGAGTCATGGGGACCAATATAGAGGGGCACACACATGGTTTAGGCAGTGTTAGGACAGTGGCCTTGCCCTCCACCAGAGCGGAGTTTAGGAAGCCTCATGTTAAGGTGGGGCTGTGAATTGTTCTCATCAGAATCATCTGGAGGATTTGAAATATCCAGACACAGGGTCCCACTGCAGACCTCTTCTATCAAAATAGCAAGGGTAGAGCTCTGGAGTTCACTTCACAAAGTCGGTGGAGGGGACTCTGAGCAGCCTTCTAGGCTGGCAGTCACAGACCTATAAGAATATACAGGTGGACCCCAGATATCAGATACCAGCCCTTTGTGTTCGCAACCCTATGGAGAGAAAGTACCACCTGAAGTCCCATGGCACCTGAAGGCCTCTGGCTAAATCATCAGTCCAGTACTACATCCTACCTGGGCATTTATTTTGACTTACTAAGGTCTCTGGTTTGTGGAGCTTCTTTAGAAAATGCAAACTGTTAAATGTGCTCAGAGGAAAAGAGGTGATACCCGAGTCCATACTGGTAGTGTCGTCAGAATGGCAGGGAGCCCAAAGGGGTTCCAGAAAAATGCTAACGACTTTGAGGTCAGGACTCCAAGACAAGGAGGCACCATTGGGCATAATACTTCCATCTCACGGGCTACAAAGTAAGGACCAAAGAAACACAGCACCTTGCCAGCCTTCTGCTGAGTAAACATGATCAAGTACTCTATGTGTAGGGGACACTGAAATGACATGGAACATGAACACAGACAGGACAGCATACACCATGTGCAGATGCAAGATGTGTAACAGAGGCACCCAGGGGGTGGTAAATGGCAGGAAAGGTTGCCCTAACGGGGCCATCAGAGAACCTCTAAGCAGAGATGGGAGGGATGAGCAAGGCCTGACCTGGAAGTTGCAGGCACAGGTAGGCAGCCTGGCTGGCACAGCTGAGGCTGAGAAGTGGCAGGCCCAGGCCCAGGCTTATCAGCTGGGAGAGTATGGATGAAGGGCCATTGAAGGACACTCAGCAAGGAAGTAATGTGACCTGACACAGATCCTAAAAGGATGGTAGGATGTTCTGGGGCTGGATGAAGCACAGTGAGTGACAGGGCAGAAATCAGCACAGGGAGACCTAGTCCTGAACTACTGCAGCAGAAAGAGTGTGATAAAGACAAGCAAGAAATGGTGAGGCACAAGATTTGCCCTATCTGACCCTTTCCCTCCATCTAAGTTAAAAATGGAACAAGGCAAGAAAAGCAGAATAAGGGCTGAGTGGTGGGTCCTTGGTGTGTGGAGGTCAGAAAGAAGAGGGAGAAAGCAGGAGACACAGGAGGGCCTGCTCTTCAAGTATGATGGGATGTGCTGCAGGGTACAGGGCTGAGCACCAGGTGGGAGGAGGGCAGAAATGCACCTAGGCATCTGGCTGTCTTGGTGAGACTATTCTGAGTAAGCGCAAGCACAAAAGAATGGGCTGAGGCAAGAAAGAAGTAAGGAGAGGGTGCTTGCAGTGGGTGAGCCCTGTGGGGAAGGCAGGCTGAGAATCAGGGTCCAGGTCAGGGGGTTGGTGAGAAGGGAAGGTACATATCGGGTGTTTTAAGGTAGGAGTCATGACAGTATGTTTCTGAGCTGGTGGGAGATGGTTAAGAAGAGAGCCAAAGAGCTAGCAAAAGGAGCAGTAGAGGAACGAGCTCTGTTGGAGGAAGCATGTGGGGGCCATGGCTCCATGGCTTTTCTAGGTTTGACTATGATCATGCTACCTCTCCTTGGGCTATCCACTTTCCTCTCTGGGTCTCGGGTTCCCCACCATAAAATAGAAGGATTCCAGAGAGTAGGAGAAAACATTCTCTATACATATGTCCAATAACATACTCATACTTACAATTCAATGAGAAAGACACAGAACCCCATAGAAATAATGGCAAAAAAACCCTTGAATAGACACTTTTAAAAAGAGGCAATACACTTATGAAAAAGTGCTTATTTTCATTATTCACCAGAGAAATGCAAATTAAAAATTACATGCAATGGTTAAATTGAAAATGGCAGGCAACATGAAGTATTGGAGGCAATGTGGAGCAACCACAACTCTAGCCACTGCTGGTGGGAGTACAAATTGGTACCAGTGGATTGGAAAGCTGCTCTTCAGTATCTGTGAGAGATGAACCTGTGCATACCTTATGGCACTGTAATTCTACTCCCAGGGTCCTACCCAACCAAAATGTGAACCCATGTGCACTAAAACACATGCACTAGGATGTTCACGGAAAATCTATTTATAATAGTCTCAAGTGGAAACTATCCAAATGCCACCAAGACTAGAGTAGATAATTAAAACTATACTATATTCACACAGTGGATACTGTACAGTAATAAGATGAACAATGTAAACTACACCCAAGATGGATAGATCCCACAAACATAGTGGGAAGAGAGCAGATGAGAATACATCCTGTATAATTCCAAGTATGTAAGTCCCAACACTAATCCACAGAGCTTCAGAAGCCAGGGCGAATCTCAGAGAGTTAGTGACAGGAAGGCAGTATAAGGAGAATTCTTTGGGTGCTGGTTGTTACATGATTGTGCCAATTTTTTTGGTAGTTTTTAAAAATACTCATTTTTGACACAGAGAGAGAAAGACAGAGAGGAAGAGAGAGGGAGCGAGAGGGACAGAGAGGGAGAGAGAGGGAGGGAGGAAGAGAGAACAAAACAGGGAACTGTCGGAGAGAGAGGGAGGCACAGAATCCGAAGCAGGCCCCAGGCTCTGAGCTATCAGCAGAAAGCCTCACAAGGAGCTTGAACTCACAAACTGTGAGATCATGACCTGAGCTAAAGTCGGACCCTTAACTGACTGAGCCACCCAGGTACCCCAAAAGCTTTCTTTCTTTCTTTCTTTCTCTCTTTCTTTCTCTCTTTCACTCTTTCTTTCTCTTTCTTGCTCTCTTTCTTTCTATTTATTTTTTAATGTTTTATTTATTTCTTTTTTTAATTTTTTTTAATGTTTTATTTATTTCTAGGAGAGAGAGAGACAGCTTGAGCAGGGGAGGGTCAGAGAGAGAGGGAGTCACAGACCGAAACAGCCTCCAGGGTCTGAGCTGGCAGTCAGCACAGAGCCCGATACGGGGCTCGAACCCACGAACCGTGAGATCATGACCTAAGCGAAAGTCGGACGCTTAACTGACTAAGCCACCCAGGCACCCCTGTTTTATTTATTTCTGAGAGAGAGACACAGCATGAACAGGGTAGGGTCAGAGAGAGAGGGAGACACAGAATCGAAAACAGCCTCCAGGCTCTGAGCTAGCTGTCAGCACAGAGCTCGATGCGGGGCTTGAATCCACGAACTGTGAGATCATGATGTGAGCCGAAGTCAGACACTCAACTGACTGAGCCACCCAGGTGCCCCCCCAAAAGCTTTTTTTAATGTTTATTTATTTTTGAGAGAGAGAGTCAGACAGCGTGAGCAGGGGAGGGTCAGAGAGAGGGAGACAGAATCTGAAGCAGGCTCCAGGCTCTGAGCTAGCTGTCAGCACAGAGCCTGATGCGGTGCTCAAACTCACCAATCGTGAGATCATGACTTGAACTTAAGTCAGACACTTAACAGACTCTGCCACCCAGGCGCCCAATTATGCCAATTCTAAAAATGCAACAAACAGCACCATAGAAATTATGCCCTTTTCTATGCATGCTATTCTTCAATAAATCTTTTTAAAAGAATAAATGTATGGAATGAACTAGTATTCTTTGGGATCTTCTGACCTTCAGTTCTGAAACTCCAGGCTGGGGTGGGCTTAGGAGGAGGAAGTCAGGGGCTGGGGGAGGATCCACAGAAGACACAAAGGGAGAAGGGACAGATTCCATAGGAGAAGAGAGGTAGCCTGAGTTCCCACTAGATAAACAGAGCCAATCTCACTTACTCTGCAGATGGACTTTCCTGTCATGAGGTCCCCAGCACAAAACATATCCTCGTGTATAGAATATTCACTTCTGCTGGAGTCTGGTGATTGGAAATACATTTTACAGACCTCACTGTCAATGATGCCGACCTCTCCCTCCTGCAGCTGGAATGGTGCAGCCAGGAAATCTGCAGGGAGTCAGGGGTGGGAGAGGGTCAGATGTGGGGTGGAACCTGGGAGACGGACTAGGTCCCTCCCCAACCAGCCTGCTAATGGACATGCTGCCAATTCCACCTGACAGGATTGGGGAAGTCTCTCAGAGGACTTAAAAAGATGAAGGGACAAGACATTCAAGGCAGACAAGAGAGCAAAGAGGAAGGGTCTATGGTGGGAAGGGCTAGGAGGGAGGTCTGTGCAGCTTCAGTGGCCTGGGAGTTGAATAAAATGAGAAAAGGCCACAGCAGGGTCCAGAGCGAGCAAGGCCTCCTCAGCAGTATGTGGAGTTTGGATTTCATTCAAGCACACTGGGAAACCACCAAAGGACCTCCTTGTGTTTTGAAAATAATTAATCTGGCAGCTATGCAGAGATAGAAATAGAGGCACAGAGGGTGGAGGCTGAGAGTCCCAACTTGGCCTAAGTTCCAGTGGTGTACCTAATAGATGCCGGGTGGGGTGAGGTAGTATGACAAATAAGACATGGCCAGGCCTCAACAAGCAACTGGTCTGTGGATGCTTTCCATGTGGATTCTATTTCCACAGATTGCTCACAGATCAGACTGGTGTTTTCATGTGGCAGCCCAGTGTCACAATGACAGCTCCCTCCTGTGAAGTACTTGCCACGTACAGCCCTCACTTGTCCTCAGGAACAGCCCCGGCCCAGCAACTGTGGTCAGGGAGGGGAGAACATGGAGGGAGAAGAACAGCTACAGGCTGAGTCTGTCATTGATGTCAGCTGCTCCCTGACCTGCTGGCTGCACTAACCTGCAACTTCCCCTCATACCCCCATTCCTGTCCTCTGACCAGTCTTGCAGAATCCTCCTTGTTCTGCCAGTGGTTCTTAATGAGTGACAGTCCATCCCAGGAGGGTGTCTTTGGAAATGTTGGAGAGTTGGCTGTTCTCATGATTAGACAGTGTGACTGATATATAGTGGCCAGGAGCACAGCAAAGAAAATCTTGTCCCAAATACCTCCACTGAGATACTCTGCCAGATCATGACCCTATGACCCTACAAATCATGGCAAATTTACATTCTGCGTTCTTCATGTTACATTTTCCTAAATCAAAAGCATTCACCATTGTGCAAAAAAAAATTCTTTGCTCACTATTTCTCCTCTCAGCCTAAAATGTATAAGCCCAGCAAGCTGGAAGAACAGGCAAGTTTTACTAGAGTTAATGGATGAGGGGAAGTGAGATTCACATAGGAAAATGTTCTTAATCCATAAACACCCAACTTTGTCTCTCAGGCCAGTAAGCAAACTTGTTTTCATTTCCTTACTGTTCTGCTGCCCTAAGTACCTTCCACGGTAGGGGAAGCCCAAGAGGTATGTGATGAAGTTTTGGAGGGGCCTGACATGGTCTTATGCAGGACCTGTGAATCACAGTGGAATACAGAATGGCTTGGAGTCAGAGAGTCCAAGTTCTCAATTCCGAAAGTTAGATATGCTCAGACTTTTTGAACCATGGACAGGAGGAAACTGAAGAACCTCCTCCTCAGCCCTTACCCTCCCTGCCTGCCTTGCTCCTACTCACCATCCTCGGTGATCATTCCCCAGCCCGTTATCCAGCAGCTGCTGTGAAGGGACAGCTTTGTGGTAGGCCGCGGGAGGCAGGCAGGGAGGATGTGCGAAGTGAAATTCACAGACAGATGCAGTTGCAACAGGGCGATGTCACTGCCCATGAAGTAGTACTTGTTAAAGTCACTGTGAACAATGATTCGATATACTGTCATCTGCCGGCTATGCTCAGTGGGATGCTGGAGCTGATGGTACCCAAGCAGGATCCAGTAGTCAGATGGTTCACGGGACCTGTTGTGAGAGGCTGTATTATCACCTGTCTCCTCTGAGCACTGGGCTAGTACCCTCACACCTCACCTGACTGCCTACCCCTAACTCCCCCAACCCCGTAAGCAACAAGACATCACCATTATTCCAGAGGTTGCTCTCTCCTCCCTTCCTAATATTCTCATCAGGTAGGCTGGATTCCTGCCTATTGCCTCAGGAAATCTGTCCTTTGAAATTTTCTGATGGCTTTCCCAGTTTGTCCCCAAATCAAAGGAGCAGAGTATCTCAGTGCTGGAAAGAAACACTGGGGCACATCAAACTATACCCCTTCCTTTTAGAGCAGAGGAGACTTGGCTCCTTCCCAGCTCTGACCAGAACCACTGGAAGGTCCCATGGCTTGGAGTGGTTCTAAAGACCCCATTTCCCAGCCCAGAATAATCCATTCTCTCTTCCCAGTCTTCACACTCAGACTTCCCTAAAGGCTGGTCCCCATCTGGAGACAGACACTCAGTGAGCTTGTGTGAGCAAACGGGAGTGCATGGAACTGAACTTGTTTCTGGAACATGAGCAACTTCCCAACGTACATGGCCTGCTTGTGCTGCTCCCATGCCCAGACTCCCTGTGCCTGAATTCTTCTCCCACAAGGCCCTACTAGCTCCAAGCCCCTCCTCTGATGCAACCCATGCTACTTCCCCTGACACTGGCTCAGGGTCTACCCTCTTGCATATTCTGGTCTTTCCATCATGTCTCACAGTAGCTGGGTTTATGTCTCACTTTCGTGACAGGATGAGAAACTTAAAGGTGGGTCTTGGATTTCCACATCTTCTCCAGTGGGACCTGCCACCCACGAGTGCTGAATAAACAAACAGAAACCAAGTAGATCTCAAAGTCAGTTGATGCCAGTGGCTCTACCTCCTCTGACTTGGAGTGTGATGCTCTCCCCACTCCCTCTGGGCACAGAATAAGCTCAGAACACACCTGAGGGGCAGACCACTCTCCTGACTGTCTGCATCCCATCTCAGGACAGAGGCGGTTTGCTTCCTGCCTCACTCTGGCCTATAGAGACAGTGGTGACCACAGCTCCTCTTAGGCACATAATTCTACTGAAGATTGCTGGGTGCTAATTAAATAGGCAGAGTCCCAAGACGCCTCCAGAGAGAAATGTGCTAGAATGTGCAGGTGGTTAGGACCAAGGGAAGCCTCTGGCAGTTATGTCGCTGATGATCTTTGAACAGCCTGAGTGGAAGAGGACAAAATAATTGCCCATTTTGTCCAGGCTCTGACTAATGTTCCCCCAGCCCTGGGAAGTATGGGCCCTAGAACTATTGCTCTCACTTAAAGCCTAAAACCTCTGCCATATCCCCACTACCATCTGCACAAGAGGAAACAAACCCACTGAGATCTTGATGGCCTGCCCAGAGCTGGGCAAGATGTAGAAAACAGAATCTACCTTGAGTAGGAACAGGACTTAGAATCCTAATGTTTAAAGAAGACAAAAAGGTGGGCTAGAGGCAATGACTTTGGAACTAAAGTTTGTCTTCCAGTAATTGTTGATAATCAGATTAGAGTTAATTTCCATTTAGCTATGTACAAGTAATGTACATGTAGCTGAGACAACCATACCATCTTGGTAAGTATTACCAAAGTGTGAGGAGGGAGACAGATGGGAACATCCCTAGAGGAAGAGATAAGGTAAATGGCCTTTGTAATGGGAGATGTGAACTCAGAGAGTCAGGAGACTGGAGTTAGGTGGTGAGAAGGGATGGCATTTCAAGTGGAGAGGACTGCTGGGTCAAAGGCAGGGGCAACAGTGCACACAGACATCTGGTGGAAGCCAGGAACAAAACCTAGGGAAAAAGGGCTGGGACACATTGTCCCCTTTCTGTTCTGTCCATTTGTGCTCCCTCCCTAATCCCAGCCAAGTCACTAGGCCCATTGAGAACACGCACTTTTGGAAGCAGTGGGCAGCTGAGATCACCCAGTAGGCATCTATGAGGGCAGCTCCACAGATGTGCTTGCCGCGGTAGAACAGGCTGGCCTGCCACGGCCACCGACAGTCTGGCGCGTTCTGGCCACCAAAGATCTTCCCAGTTACTGCTGGCTTCCCACACACTGTGGAGACAATCCATGAGGCACCTATATTATGGATGCCAGCCTTGGTGCCTCTGAATGTCAGCATCAATAGGACACAGGCCCACCATGGCCCCTCCTCACTTTCCAGCTGGGAAATCCAAGGCCCAGGGTGAAGAGACATGGCTCATGTAACAAAAGGCCACCTGGCTTTGCTGGTGATGGTAGTGCTAAGGAAGCAGCCTGTGGGTCTGAGTAAGAAGGGGGGTTCATGATACAGGCAGCTGCAGAGGCACACATACACATATCATTGGGTGCACAAGTCCAGGCCAGGAGGTGGTGCCGCCCAGGTACTTCACCAGACCTTATTTTACTTAACTAGCATACCACTGTTTAAAGTCCCAGCAACTAAGTCCCCTGGTAAGTCACTGGAGGGATGCTTTTTACTCCGGGCCACTAAGGATTAAGTGGTTGCACCCCTCCCACCTCAGCCCAATATTCTAGAGACACTGAGGCCAAATGGAATACATTCCAGTTGACAATTCTCCTTCTGAAGCACTGCATCCCCATTCTTAAAGTGAAGAGGTTTTCGGGGTCCACACAGACAGGCCAGTGCTGGGCCTCTGCTCTTGAACTGAGGAGGCTTGAGATCCAGTGGCAAAGCGCTGGCAAGGAGGAGGGGGTGCCCTGGTCTCCTCAACCATGGGTCTCCCTGACCGTGTCCACGGGCAACCCAGGAACTCTAGGGTCCCACTCAGCCAGATGGAGGTTCTCCTGGCCAGTGGGTTGGGTGAGGGCTCCTCGCCATACTCCCCCCACCTCCGCACTCACCATCCAGGGTAGCTCTCTTGGGCTCAGCACACAGCAGCAGTGGGTGCAGCCAGAGCAGGGCTGCAGCCAGCGCACAGGTCCCCTGCCAGCCTGAGCCTGAGCCCTCGGCCCGGGTGCTTGCCATCGGGCCAGTCCACGTCGGCTTCCGGGACAAGAGGCCTGAGCTGCACGAGGCCGCAGGGACTGCTGGGAAACCGCCTCCTTCTGTGGGGAGTATCCACCTCCTGCCCCGCCCTGCAGCCCGTTTGGGTACCAGGAGGAGGCAGCGGGCCCACACGCTGCCAGAGACCCCAGGCTGATGGCAGAAGCAGAGGACACAGAGGGTCTTTTGCTCAGGGACCCCAGTTTGATGGTGGAGACCTCAGCCGGGTTATGGTATTTGCCTAGGAATATGCACTAATGGTCAGAGGTCAGGCGCTTATATAATGTCACCAAATATTTCTAACTGGCTTTCAAGATCCAATGCACTTATGTCTACCCATCCCCCATTCACATAATTAGGTCAGACCCACTACGGATAATATCCCTTTCTTAAACTCACTCGTGCAATATAGATGACATGATCATGGGGTGGATATTACATTATAGTCACAGGCTGCAAGAGGGCATTATGCAAGGGTATGGGTTGTATGGGGAGTTCAACCTCTGGCTGCCACAACTATGTTCTTCCCAAATGCAGAATCATGCACTATATCCCAAGGTCCCCAAGAGTCTCATCCCATTACAGTATTAACTAAAAATTCAGAGTCTCATCTGTTAGAGGAGGTCACTAAGAGGATATGACCACTGGTTGATCTTAGAGCTAGATCCAGGGAGAAGAGGCCCCTCACTTTCTCCCCTGGCCTTGGAATGTGTTTTGCCCACTAAGTTGGAACTGTTTCAAGGACACAGTTTTGAGAGAGTAAGATGTTGTTGAGACCATCTGGACTGAATATGTGACTGTGCCTAGTAAAGGCCTCTATATAAACTTTAACATCCAATCTACGTAGAGACTGAACCTCAGGAGTTTGGGAGGAAAAGAGACAGAGTGCATAGGGAAGGCAATCTCATAGGTGCGTGAGTGCAAACTGGGAAAGATAAAAATGTACCAGGACCCAGAGACATGGAGGGAGTGGAGGGAACCCCTTCTGTGGGGAGCCGTGGTGAGTAAAGGGGAAAAGAAAGAGCAGCTGAAACTGCTCATAGAACTGTCCCTGGAGAAGAGAAAACCTCGCTCGGGACTGAGAGTGATTCTAGTTCTAGCTGTGGTGCTGACTTTGGGCTGGGTGCCCTGGTCCCAGGCGGAGCCAGGAGAAACTGCTCCGAAGCTCTTCCAGCTCAATCCCCAGCAGGCAGGCAGCCGGCCTGTGGGATTTTGTTTCCAGCAGTATCAATAAGGTGCACGGACTGGGACCTGGAAACGAGGCGGGGTTGGGACATAGAACACGGCCCACCTTGGCTGCGCTCATGGAGCAGGGAGATCGGAGTGATTTGCAGTGCTTGGTTCCGGAGGAGACTGGGACGCTGCCATTTTTCTCCCCACAACCACCAAGGAGGGACCTCAGGGAGCAGCCCACTGAACACAGTGGAGGCTAAGACCTGCCTACACCAAACCATGCACATCCCAGCTGGGGAGAGTTTTGTTTGTTTGTTTGTTTTGTTTTTTACTGGAGCCTGGAGCAAGATCGATATGGATGCACTGCTGTGATTAATTTTAGATCAATTCTTTCTATGCAGATATATTTTCCTTTGTCTCACTATTATCCCTCCCCTCTGCTAGACTGGGCACTTTGGTCATTGGTTTGCTTAAACAGTCACATTTAATCCATTTTCTAGATGTATATTCTACACCTCCATTGTTACCTTTCTCTCTCTCTCTCTCTCTCTCTCTCTTTCTCTCTCTGGAGTAATCAGACTATATAGTTTCTCTGAGTAACATTATCTTCGTTTCTTTCTCCTTGCCTCCTACCATATTCTCCTCTTTCTCTCTCTGAGTTAAGCCTCTTAGTCTCTCTGCCTGGTCATTGTCCAATTTCGCTTTCTCTCCACCCTGTCATTTCTCTCTTTATATATGCTCTTCCATCAGCACTGCATACACCCTGCTCTTTATTTGTAGCTGGGAATTCTGATTTCATGCTTTTAGATTGTCCTTTGTCCTTTGTTTTGTTGTTGTTGTTTTTTCTTTTCTTTTCCTTATTTTTTCTTTTCCCTTTCAGTTGTTTGTTTCTTGGATTTGTCTGTGCATTTGTGTGCCTTTGTTCCCTGTGTGTGTGTGTGTGTGTGTGTCTGTTTTCTTTTCCAGGGCTACCTCAAGAAATAAGCCAGAGTAAACATGGTGGAGAGTCCCAAATACCACTACAAGTAGGGAAATAAAATAACCAGTGTCCCAAAAAGAGAGACCAAGAGACAACAGTAAAAGAACATTTCATTTCCTGAATGGAAAGGCCCTGGACAGTCAATGAGCCTTCTTTAAATTTTTTTAAATGTTTTTTTAAATATTTATTTCTGAGAGAGAGAGAGAGAGAGAGAGAGAGAGAATGAGCAGAGGAAAGTCAGAGAGAGAGGGAGACACAGAATCTGAAGCAGGATCCAGGCTCTGAGCTGTCAGCATACAGCCCAATGCAGGTCTCAAACTCACAAACTTAAGATCATGACCTAAGCCAAACTTGGACACTTAACCTACTGAACCACCCAGGCGTCCTTCAAAAGAGGAGCATCTTAAATGATCATGATATTGACATCATTCTTACATTTGTACACATGAAATAATCAAGGATATTCATTGTATCAGAAATTACCTAATTTCCTTCCAAAAGAGAAATGTTAAATCAACTACACTACATCCGTAAAATAGTATATGATACAGTTTAAACAACTGAGACATCTATGTATGTATTTCTGTGAAAATATCACCAAGGTAAATTATTGAGTGTAAAAACAAGAACTTCTTGTTCTGGCAGTAATGGAGCAGCTTCACATCATGAAATTAACAAAAACTGGACAAACTATAGGCACCAACTACACAGCCAAAGCAGGCAGAATTTAAGGAGCTACAGGTCCTTTGAAAACAAGAAAACTCATGAGATGTGTTCCACATTTTGGTTTTTTCCACGGTCCACACAGGAACAGAACTCAGGCATAAAAGACAACATAAATGGCCTGAGGATTTGGGAATTTATGTTCCCAAACATAAACTTTACTTTATGTAAAAGGTAAAACTGAAAGTTTCTTACTTGAAAGTAAACCCCAAATTTGCATACACATTCTTCACAGGGTATTGTTTAACTGCTTAACTATGCATGGGTAGAGCTTCACTCCAAATAGCTAGGCAAAACTTTAAGAACAGTTGGGAGTAAAAGAGATCAAAGGGTTCTGTTGACACCCAGTGCTGGGAACACAGAAGCTGGAGTTAAAGTCCTGGCAAGGTAGAAAATCTTGCTGTGCTTTCTCATGTTCTCCTTAAGACAGAGGAGGGACACAGCCTAGAATTAAGAGCTGTACTAGAAGAGAAAAAGTAAAATTAAAATAGCTTCCCTATGATAGTTGGTTTTATGTGTCAATTTTACTGGAACACAAGATGTTTAGATATCTGGTGAAACATTTCTGGATGGATCTGTGAGTGTGTTGCCAGAAGAGATTAGCACTTGTTTTCTTGTTTTTAAAAAATTTTTTAAATGTTTTATTTATTTCTGAGAGAGAGAGTGTATGTGTGTGAGCAGGGAAGGGTCAGAGAGAGAGGGAGACGCAGAATCTGAAACAGGCTCCAGGCTCTGAGCTGGCAGTCAGCACAGAGTCTGTCGCAGGGCTCAACCCCGCCCCCCCCCCCACCAACCGTGATATCAAGACCTGAGCCGAACTGACGAACTGACGCTTAGCTTAACGTCTGAGCCACCCAGGCGTCCCCCACAGGTGCCCTGAGATTAGCATTTGAATTAATAGATTGTGTGAAGTACAACGCCCTCTTCGAAGAGAATGAACCATCCCATCTGTGGAGAGGCTGAATAGAACAAAAGGTGAAGGAGGATTGAATTTGCTCTTTGCTGAGGTGGGATATTGAGCTTCTCCTGTCCTCAGAACTCCTGGCTCTGCAGCCTTCAGACACAGACTGGAATCTGTTGGCTCTCTGGCTCTCTGGCCTTCAAACTACACCACTGGCCTTCCTGGAGCTCCAGCTTTCAAGAGAGCAAATCTAACTCAGCCTTCACAATCACATGAACCAGTACCTTATAACAAATATTTTTACACACACACACACACACACACACACACACTTGATCATGTTTCTTCTCCAGAAAAGACTAAATAATACACTCCTCTGATAAGCTGCAGAACATACTGAGACTTAAGCAGAGTTAGAACAAAACGAAGATATAAAAAGGATATGGGAAATATATGTGACTCAGAAGAAAAAGAATTCAAATATACCTATATTTGGAATTCCAAAAGAAGTAAGAGAAAGATTGGTTGGAAAGCAATACTAAAGAAATGCTATAACCATAAGTTTTCAAAATTAATGAAAGATATCAAATTGCACTAAAGAAGCTACAAATAACAGGATAAATTTAAGAAAACCACACATTTATTAGAATTACTGAAAACAAAAGATAGAAAGAACACTGTAAGTTTCTCCAGGGTCAGGGAGGGAGAAAAACATATTACCTTAAAATAAAATAAAAACAAGACTGATCTTTCTGAGATATAATTTGTGAGAAGGAAGTAAGGGAGAGGATTCATTTTCAGAAACATCAAATAAAAGTTGTGCTGTCTAATTAACAGTAGGTTCACAATCTATGGGAAATATGAATGAACCCCGCCCTCTCCCCCACAATAGTCTTTTTGGTTCTTCTTCCTCTCTCTGTTTTGCGGGATCCTTTTCTCAGACTTTGCAATGAGCATGCCCCAAAAAACAAAGGGGAAAAAGGATGGAAAGTCTCTGTGTCACCTCAGGGAATGTACATTTATTCCAATCAGACTACTTTTTGGGTTACTTGGGCATAGGTGAACTCCAAGTAAGGGTGTAACCTCTGTAGTACTCAGCCAGTGAGGAACCAGGGGAGGGACTTGCATGCTAGGAAATAAACTGTTTTAACTTCCCCAAGTTGTGCCTGTCCATCAGACACTCCCTCTTGTAAGAATGTTGATTAA